TGGCTGTTGTGTCCACTTGGGGAGTGAACCCGTGGACAGAAGATCTTTCTCTCTGTATCTCCTTCTCTCTGTAAATCTGCCTTTCCAATAAAAATAAAAATAAATCTTTTTGGTTTTTTTCCCTTTTTCTATTTTCTTCTTTTTTGATTAATTTTGTTAAGAAAACAAATCTTAAAAAAATATGTCCCATGAGTGTAAAAACCTACCCAATAGAATTTAAAAAATTCTTGAGTTTTGATTTCTTTTTACTTTTCTCTTTCATTCTAAGTAACAGTTGGAGCTCCACGAGGGAGACGATCCTGCGTGGGGAGAGCTGCCTGACTGGGCTGTTTCCCTGGCTGCATCTCCTGCTGCTCTTCCTGTGTAGTGTCCACGTGGTGTTCCTCTCCTGAGCACGACTCAGTTCCGCCTCTCACTGGCCAAGTCCAGCACTAGGGGGCTGTTTCATCCTCAGGTTATGAGCTACACAAAGTGGTAAGACCCAGAGGAAAACCTTTCTACAAACAGTGTGAAGACAAAGAAAACACAATTTCAATAAAAAGTTCTTGAGATTGGCATTGTGGCACAATTGTGTTAAGCCTCCACGTTTAGTGCTGTTATCACACATGGGATTGCTGGTTGGAGTCCTAACTGCTCCGCTCCCAATGCAGTTCCCTGCCGATGCACTTGGGAAAGCAGCAGAAACTGGCCCGCATGATAGGGCCCTGGCCCCCACGTGGGAAACCTGATCCAGCCCTGGATATTGTGGTCATGTCGGGAGTGAGCCAATGGGTGGAAGAGCCCTTTGTCTTTCTCTTTCCCTCTCTCTGTCACTCTGGCTTTCAAATAAATCTTTAAGAAAATGTTCACAGAATATATGTAAAAGGGGGATTTCTTGCAATTCATGAAAAACAATGGATTATGTAATATGTTATTTTGTGGGAGTCACTTAAATTAGGATGGTAGTATTGATATTGTTGCATCAATTATGTTCAGAATTCTACAAATTGGCTAATAGTTATACCAAGAACAGTCCACTTTTCCAACTTTAATTGAATTGTTGCCTTAATTGTGGACATTAGCCAAGGTCTGGATTCTGGAATGAAAATGTAATTACTTCTTTCCTGGGATGGAAATTCCAGTAATCTGCATCAACTGCAGAAATTAGCAGCATATGACAAAGTACTCCTTCACGGTGGCATTTTCCTCAGCTAGGTTTATTATCCCTTAGTAAACTCTTCTGCATTTATTTGTATCTACTACAAATTTAGTAAATATCTGGAAATGTAATTTATCCCTAGAAGTGTACTGTCTGCTACTTGCCTGGATGGGAAGAAGGTAATTCTGAGGTTGTGGATCTCATTTTTTTTTTTTTCACAAATAGCATACTTTGAAAGAGAAACCATTCATTATTGCCCCTTTCTCTTCTCTATATGTTCCTCCTGTAAGAGGGGTGCAAACTGAAATGAACCTTTGAAGAATGAATATTTGTAGGCAAAGCAAGGATGGCAGCAGAAGTCTGTAAGAGTTCCTCCAACAGTGGAGGAACCAAAAATGAAGTTGGCCTCTCTTGGCATACCTGTCCTTCGTCATTTCAGATCACCTTTCTGACTATGTCCTTGTGATTATAAATAATAGGTACCTGGGCCCAGTGTGGTAGCCTAGTGGCTGAAGTCCTTGCTTTGCACACACTGCAATTCCATATGGGCTCCGGTTCCCATCCAGCTCCCTGCTTGTGGCCTGGGAAAGTAGTTGAGGACAGCTCAAATACTTGGGACCCTGTACCCACGTGGAGACCCAGAAGAAGCTCTGGGTTCCTGGCTTTGGATCGGCTCAGCTCCAGCTGTTACGGCTGCTCAGGGAATGAACCAGCAGACAAAGATCTTTCTCTTTGTTTCTCCTTCTTTCTACCTTTCCAATAAAAATAAAATAAATCTTAAAAATAATAGATACAATTAAAATTTAATCTGGAAGCTATACGTAAGGTGGAAAATATTTATATGTGTAATACCCAGCGTGAAATATCCAGGCTGCAAAATTGACTAGATTCTGTAAAACCTGAATGAAAAAAGATCCGCTCCTAGGATTTTCTTCTATGAATGTGTTTGTGTCTCTACATGAAGATTTAAGTATTAGAATTATTATTGCTGCATTATTTGTAATAGCAAAATTTACAAGTAAGCCATGTGGCATTCCATTTGGTCTGAGAAAAAAAATTATGGTATATCCATACATTGAAACAGTGTGTAGCTGTTGGGGAAAAGTGAGGCAGCCTACACACCAACATGAAACCTTTTTCTCCAATACTGCTGACAAAGCAAGGCACCTGTGATACCTTCCTACTGATGCAGAATGATTAGATAAGACCATATAGGAATATTACAAATAATAATTATTTCCAGGTTACCAGGATATGAATGATGATTTTTCTTTATTTCTCAACATTTTTAGTGCCTCTGTAACTTCATATGGAAAACTGAGGAAAAATGAAGACTTGGACAAATGATTGTCTAAGCTTCCACGATAGGATGTTTCCTAAGCTTTGATATTTTTGTAACTACTCCCAATTTTATGAAGAAACAAACCAGAGAGGTGTTCTGTTTCTTTGCTGTTGATTTCTGACTCTACTTAAACACACTGGCCAGGTCTCCAGTTGCTGTTGCTTCTGTTTTAGTCCGAGAGGCAGTGATGCGGTTCCCATGCAAGTCATAGCATTGCGCGTGCTCACGCATTATCATGAAATCCTGAAAGATAATTTGGTTTCCAGACTTCATTACTGGGTTGTGTAACACAGTTAAACTCAAGATTGAAGGTTGAATTAAACATTTTCAGCTTTGAAAACTCTTAACTGTTTTGTTTTTTTTCTTCTCCTTCTCCTCCTTTTCCTGCTACTGCTTCTCTTTCTCCTCCTCCGTCTTCTTCAAGATTTGTTTATTTTTATTGGCAAGGCAGACCAGATTTATGAAGAGAATGAGATACAGGGAGGAAGATCTTCCATCCAATGATTCACTCCCCAATCTGAAGCCAGGACCCAGGAGCTTCTTCCGAGTCCCCCACACAGGTGCAGGGTCTGAAAGCTTTGGGTCAACCTCTACTGCCTTCCCAGGCCACAAGCAGGGAGCTGAATAGGAAGCAGCCAAGACACGTAGCGGCACCCAAGTGGGATTCCAATACTTGCAAGGTGAGGATTTAGCCATTGAGCCATCGCACTTCTTTTTAAAGGTAGTTTTATTACTTTAAAAAATTTAAAGTGTTTTTAAAAAATTTAGTTGGAAGACAGGCTTGTGCGGGGACTAAAAGGGTGGGAGAGAAAGATCTCTTCACTGGTTCCCTTTCCAAATGCCTGTAATAGCTGGAGCTGGGCCAGGACAAAGCCGAAGCACGGAAATCAGTTTGAGTCTCCCACATGGGCGGCAGGGATCCAAATATTTGTGCCATCACCTGTTGCTCCCCAGGGCATACACTGGTAGGAAGTTAGAACTGGAAGCAGAGCCAGTATTCAAATCCAGGCGCATGAAGGTCCTAACCACTGCCAAACTCCCCCCTCACTGGTTCTTTTGTCTTGGCACAGTCTCATGAATAAAACAAGGCAGCTGTATGGTGTTTTTCCTTTGTGACTGAGCATTAACTTGTATTATTTTACCTTTAGATATTGCACTTAATTTTGTAGCTATACATCTGGGTTTTGATAATAATTTAATAACAACAGAAAAAGTCAGATAAGATGATTGCTGTGGGAAAAGGACCTGGCACCATTTTGAGGAGCTTGAGGTATCAAGATGATAAAATTAGTTAAATACACTAATGTCTTTATTCTCTGTATTCTGTGAGACTTAGCACAATCCTTAAATCTAACTTTCTCTGGCTTTTTTTGTTGTTGTTGTTATGCAAGGACTATGTTGGAACCTATTTCTTATTAATAACACTATGGAAATATTGAATAGTTAGTTCACGTTAAATTACCAGTTGATGCTGAATTTCCATTCTTATACTAGGATTACTAGGATCTAAAACTTTCTCCTCCTTACCTCAATTCTTGTTAATAAATACATAAATAAATTACTATTTTTTTTTTTATCACAGATGGAATTAAAATGATCCTAAATTGATTCAATTTTGTTCCAGGCACAGGCAAGTTGTTTATGCTTATAGCTTCCTTAATTGGCTTATAAACCAACTTTTTAGTATGGCTTATATCCTAACAAATATGGTTCATTAAAATTGGAGAAATTCTCTTGATTTATGCATATGAGTCTCATGTGCCCTTTGCAATGCTTTATTCAAATTCATCCATAATCAAATTGCTAACTTATGTTTGCAACTGGTATTCTAATTAGTTTGAGATGGAAACTCACAATACAAGCCAGAAAAAGCCTTTTTGAGTAGAATTGTCTCAAGTGAAAGTTTCATTTTTCATTAAAATTTTGACTATCTATGTTTTGAATTTTTTTTAAAGATTTATTTTTAATTTTTATTGCAAAGTCAGATATACAAAGAGGAGGAGAAACAGAGATGAAGATTCTCCATCTGATGACCCATACCCCAAGTGACCACAACGGCCAGTGCTGCGCTGATCTGAAGCCAGGAGCCAGGAACCTCCTCCAGGTCTCCCACATGGGTGCAGGGTCCCAAGGCCCTGGGCCGTCCTCTACTGCTCTCCCAGGCCACAAGCAGGGAGCTGGATGGGAAGCAGGGCTGCTGGGACCAGAACCGATGCCTACATGGTATCCCAGTGAGTCCAAGGTGAGGACCCCAGCTGCTAGGCTACCGCACTGGGCCCCCATGTTTTGAACTTTTAATTCATGTTTTGAATTGAAAATCTTCAGAGGGAATAAATTCTGTATATCTATTCTTTTTATTTGAACAACTTCCTTATATTAAAAGATTCCTTAATACAATATAGTTTTTAAAGGGAAATCATATGTAGTTCAAAAAGATGCTACATCAAAGCTATATAACAAGGTGAAGCATGAACAGGAAATCCAAGTACAAATGGAACTGTTGCTCTGAACTGGCACGTTTCATTGAGCGTCAGAAACCAACAATCTTTCTGTCCTTTTGCTGTACATTATTCGGTATGCACTTTCTCTGCATCTGATTGGCTCCCTGGATTTTATTTCACTCTCTGTGTGACATTCTCTACAAGTATAAATCATTGGCTGCTGCTTGGGGGGCTGAATGTCCTTTTGAGTGTCCACTGTCCCTTTGGGGCACCGAATTAACTCCTCAGCACCTCATCTAGGACTCACTGCACTGCAGGGTCTGTAAGTCTATTCTGTAAACTCTGTCACCCCCATCCTTCCTCCCCGCAGGAGGTTATCAGACTGCTATTAGAAAGAGTAAGACACTGATAATCAGAATTCCTGGCTGATTATACAGTTTCCTTTGTAAAATTGGACAAGTATCAGAGAGTGGTTAAGAACAGTAGATCTTGAAGTCAAACCAAGTTTGGACTCTTGGCATACTAATTATTAGTCACTTTACACAACTTATTAAGTGTCTATGTTCAGGCCCAGTTGTCTTCAGCATGAAATCGGCACATACAACTCCTGCCAGCAAGCTGGGAGACAGACCGAGTGAAAAGCAGTCTGGTACCTATGTTTTACAATTTGGCCTTTAACTCAATAATTTTACCTTTAGATATTTTTATTATGTTTTAATTCCTTAAAAGTGAGTACACCATGAAATGAAGATACATTACAGTATGCATCTCTGCTCCTGAATAAAAGATGGACTCCCAAAGAAACTATTAAATATATCTTGACAACAGGATGCTGGAATGGCTACCATTGTCTATACCTACAATGTCATGATACACTTAAATAACAGAATGATGACTTATGATTATTGGGTTTTTTTAAAGATTTATTTTATTTTTATTGGAAAGGCAGATATACAGAGAGGAGAGACAGAGAGGAAGATCCTCCGTCCAATGATTCACTCCCCAAGTGAGTGCAACGGCCGATGCTATGCTGATCCGAAGCCAGGAGCCTCTTCCGGGTCACCCATATGGTTGCAGGGTCCCAAAGCTTTGGGCCGTCCTTGACTGCTTTCCCGGGCCACAGGCAGGGAGCTGGAAGGGAAGCGGGGCTGCTGGGATTAGAACTGGTGCCCATATGGGATCCCGGGCATGCAAAGCGAGGACCTTAACCACTGTGCCATCGCGCCGGGCCCTTATGATTATTGTTGAAGGACTATAGTATTGTTATAATATAGTGGAAAACAGTGTGGGGGAAGAGGGAGGGGGAGAACGGAAGGGAAGCTCCTGAGCCTAAGGAACTGTATCATTTTTTTTCTTTTTTTTTTTTTATTATATTTTTGACAATCGTTACATAGTTGATTAGGGTAAAAAGGTTCAAGGGCTATAGGAAAGTAGGTAAGACTAATATTTCCTTATTGTTTCCTTCATGTTTAAAGGGAGATATTAAGGGAGAAGGCCCACCCAGTTTCCCACCCACCCCAGGTAAGGAACCATATCATAAAAAATAAAAAATAAAATAAAAAGAATAGTACAGTAAATAAAACAGTCAGTAATACAGTTTATTAGGCTTTTGTTTTGAGTAGAGGTAACCAATCCTATGTATATGTTTAAAAATTATTTATCTATTTAAAGATTTATTTATTTTTATTGGAAAGGCAGACCAGATTTACAGAGAAGGAGAGACAGAAAGATTCTTTTGTTCACTGGTTCACTCCCCAAGTGGCTGCAGCGGCCAGAGCTGAGCTGCTCGAAGCCAGGGGCCAAGAGCCAGGAGCTTCTGGGTCACCCATCTAGGGATAGGGCCCCAAAGCTTTGGACTATCCTCCTCTGTTTTTCTAGGCCACTGGCAGGAAGCCGGATGGGAAGTGGAGCAGTGGGAACACAAACCAGCACCATCTGATATCGTGATGCTTGAAGGTAGAGGATTAACCGATTGGGTCAACACCAAGTCCTAAAAATTTTACTCACTTGAAAGAGTTACAGAGAGAGAGGAGAGAAGGAGGTTCATTTGCTGGTTCACTTCCCAGATGGTCACAGTGACTGGGAATGGGCCAGGCCAAAGCCAGGAGCCAAGAGGTCCGAGTCTCCCATGTGGGTGGCAGGGGCACAAGCCCTGGGGCATCTGCCGCTGCTTTCCCAGGCACGTTAGCAGGGGGCTGAATGGGAAGTTAAAAGAGGAGATTTAAACGTACACCCAACACTAGCTCCTAATCCTACGTATTATTTTTAACAATGATGAATAAGTATGGAACTTTCTATTGGTCAAGAATATCCTTTTTCAAATAACCATACCAGATAACCAGTGCACTGAACAGTTCAGTACCAAGTAACGGGTGCATTGAGAATGATTGAGAGTGTTGTAATAATAGTTCCCATTATCCAGTGCTTGCCAAATGCCAAGCTCTGCACAGTTCTTGTCTAATCTAATTGAACATTAACTCCCAGTATGCGAGGTGTGTAGTATTCACATTTCATTTACTAAAAATCTCAGAGGCATTAAGTGTATTTGTTTTTTTAAGGATTTACTTATTTTTATTACAAAGTCTGATATACAGAGAGGAGGAAAGACAGAGAGCAAGATCTTCTGTCCATGATTCACTCCCCAAGTGACCACAACGACTGGTTTTCTGCCGATCTGAAGTCAGGAGCCTGGAACCTCTTCAGGGTCTCCCACGCAGGTGCAGGGTCCCAAAGCTTTGGGCTGTCCTAGACTGCTTTCCCAGGCCACAAGCAGGGAGCTGGATGGGAAGTGGAGCTGCTGGGATTAGAACCGGCGCCCATATGGGATTCCAGCGTGTTCAAAGCGAGGATTTTAACTGCTAGGCTGCACCGCTGGGCCCTGGCTTCCTCTTTTGTATGACGGTTAGAATAAGATGTATCTTATCAGGTCACTTTGGTCATTATGTGGAAAGGGTTAGATCATTTGTGTAAAGAAAATAGAAATTATTGGGGGTTGACTAAATCTATCCCAGAAGCGAGGCAAAGGCAGACTCGTATCACCTGGGACAGCAGCCACACAGCAAGACGTTGGTACACTTCCACCCTGAGCTTCCAAAATGCAGGATTTTTTAAATGCTCAAAGCACATCCTGGGTAGTAAGAAAAAACACATACACAGTAAAAAAACAGGACCCTGTCAATCAGATAAGGGTGCAGACAGCACAGGTGGGAGCCGTCAGCAGCATTATCAGGGTTAGGGGTCACTGCCAGAAACAGTCTATTCAACAGAATAAACATGAGTCATGGGCCATATGTCCTGGACTTGTCCTTATCTTAGCTGTTGCTCAGGGGGGTAAGGGCTTGGGTCACCAGGAGATTAAGATGGAGTCACAGTTGTTCATAGTCCACAGTAATGCCCTGTAACGGGGTGGGAGTTCAGGGAGGTGGTCCATTACAAAAGAATCTATAGCCCAAATAATGTGAACCCATGTTTCACAGGTACTCAGGAAATGATTAGGGCCAGAACTTCACACCCTCTATTCTTAAAATAGAGAAACTGGTTGACTTCATAGCCAGGACAGAGAAAACAGCAGAACTTCAATTAGCTTATGTCAAAGAGAGTGAGTGGTCAGCAGAAGGCGGCAGCTGGCTGTTTTTGGAGCAGCTCTGCAGGTCCCCCCCGGGAAGGCGTGGTGGGGAGCAAGGGCTGGGCTGGCGGTCCGGCTGAGCAGCCTGCCCTGTAGTGGAGCATTCTCTGGTGCAGGAGCGGGTCACACAGTGTGTGTCCCATGTCCAGGTGCTCTAGTGGTCAGTCTAAGTGCTTTCTCCAGGGACAATGCAGCTGAAGCAAGGGCGCTTCAGCCTTGCTGCACGTGTCTGTGGTGATCACAGCAGCCTCATGCTGAAGAATATGCCTCTTTCTCATGCGCAGAGGGCAACAGGAAGGAGCGTTCAGAGCACTCCGGAGGTTCCGCTTTCCTTACTGCAGCCTGGCTTGCGCAGGCTTCTTTGACCAACCTCAAGCTCAGGTCTTCCCAGCCTGCTTTAAGTGAAGGTTTTGGCGTGAAAGAAACACTCTCCCAATCCAATTAGAATTCAGACTATTCCAAAGCAGTGATTCAAATACAACAAGATATTTTTAAATGATCATCATTTAACTTTGAGAGTTGCACACTGAAATTAACAGTATTTTCTTGGTGTAGCAGTCTACATTACAATTTCTAGCACTCAGTCTGGTGCACAATGAGGTTCCCGTATTTTCTCCTTCCCTGCCCTCTTCTAGTCAGTGAATGTGTCTGTGCTTATTGGGGACCCGGGCCACAACACCACAACTAATGAATGATAAGACGCATTTGCATGACAAAATATCTTCTTTTTTTTTAAGATTTATTTTTATTATTTTTTTCATTGGAAAGGCGGATATACAGAGAGGAGAGACAGAGAGGAAGATCTTCAGTCCGATGATTCACTCCCCAAGTGAGCGCAACGGCCGATGCTATGCCGATCCGAAGCCAGGAGCCTCTTTCAGGTCTCCCACACAGGTGCAGGGTCCCAAAGCTTTGGGGCCTTCCTCGACTGCTTTCCCGGGCCACAGGCAGGGAGCTGGAAGGGAAGCGGGGCTGCTGGGATTAGAACTGGCGCCCATATGGGATCCCGGGCGTGCAAGGCGAGGACCTTTAACCACTTGCGCCACCGCGCCGGGCCCCAAAATATCTTCTTAACAAACCTTGATGAAATACTGTCCTGCAGAAGACCTGCGGGTCCCTGTAGGATCAAGTGTTTTCTGTTCTCACAGGATGTGAAAGCTGGAGCATCTTTACAAGTAGGCACAGTGGATTTCTTTTCTTCACCGTAAAGGCCATAGCAGAGTGTATGGACTTGTCCTCTGGTTTTATGAATGGGACGTGAAAACACCCACGCCCTGCTCCCAGAGGCTGTCTCAGAGAATGAGCTCTTTCCTCTAGAACTGCATGTGTTCCAAATCCTTGTACAAAGCTGGTAACTTACAATTGCTGATTTGACTGAATGCGTAATCTCTGTCGTCCAGCATTTCTCAGTCTTATTGGCAACTGCAGGGAGTTTCCGTGTTCCCAAAGGAAATGTGCAGTTTACTTTCCTCTTTCATTATGTGGGGGTGGTGGTTTCAACGCTACCACAGGAGGTAAGTTTTGATCATATGAAAAATTTAGACGTCATGATGGGGTGGCGAGGGGAGACAAGGACATGGGGAATGTTAGGCAAGCAGTTCTGTGCGTAATGCAATCGGTGCAGCAATAGTCAAGATTCTGTTTACTCCACTCAGGCTTCCGGGGGATGCATTTCAAAGCTCATACAGCATTCCATTCCTTACAGCAACAGCCATCTTTTTCTTTTTTTTACCCAGATGATCCTTGACTTTATGTCTTAAGAGAGTATTGGTTTTTCTTTTTTTCCCCTCCATCATTCTTTTATTGATAGACAGTAGGAATGTATATAGTTACGCTTCTGCCGTCAGCATATTTAGTATCTGGTGTGGGACACTTTTTGGGTCATAGATGGCGCCTTATTTCTATATCCTGGAGTGATAAAGAGACCTACATTTTTATTCCTGCAGTCATTAATCTCATCTTAAATAGAAAGCATTTCTAGTGTTTTCTCTTGTTTGTTTTTGTTTTTAAGATAGCCTATTTTGGTAGCATAGTATTGTTCCAAATTGCTTTTTAGGGGACACAGTAACCTCTAGGCTTTATAGCAAATTGAAAAAAGGTGGTGGAGACAGCTCTAGCAGCTACCACAAAGCATCTGAGAATTTCTGGAGACTAGAGTAGATCTGGAAACTTCAGAATTCCCCTGTGTCTCATGTCTGGAAGATAAATGAACATTGAGTTAGAGTAAGCCTAGGAATCGAGGCTTAGAGAACCCAAGGAATCCCTGGAAAAACTAGTGAATCTCTTTCTTTTTTAATTCTAGAAATTCTAGCATACGTTAAAACCTCATAACAGAGAGTGGCTTGCTGTGTGTCCAGTGGTCAGACTGCCTGGGTTTGAATTCTATCATTGCCCCTTATGGGCTGCACAACCTTGGGGAAGTTATTTAACCTTTCTTGGTGGGTTCATTTTCTCATGCTTAAAATGGCAAAGATAGTATTAGTAGAGTTGGTTAGAGACTCATACGCATGATCTTTACAGAACTAAATACTAACCATTTAATTTTACAAAGAAAATCCTGAAGGAGGGAGAGTACAGTATAATCAAGATCAGGTGTTGGTAAACTGTGGCCCATTGGCCAGATCTGGACCACCAGGCATTTTACATAAATAAAGTGTCATTGGAACACTGCCATCCCTATTCATGGCTGTCTTCTTGATACAACAGAGTTGTTGTGACAGAGACTGTATAGCCTCAAAACTTAAAATATTTCCTGTCTGGTCATTTACAGAGAAAGTTGGGAGGCTTTGAACTATAGGCCTCATTCTTTTGCATGAGTGTATTTCCTTTATTCAACAGAAATGCTTTGGCTACAGATCCAGCCAAAGTGCTTCCAGCTACCCTTTCTCTCTCTAAATGCATGAGAGTCTGTAGGTCATGAAACTCCCATGAAGTAGCACATTGTACCACAAATGAAGCCGACAGGCTGCCCAATGTCACAGAATGAATTGTGACTGGGTTTTTTGTGGTGGTACTGTGGGCCATTGAGACTAATATGAAAATTACTTTCTGAGCATTTATGCAAGATCATTTAATTTTAGAGCTCATAAACAAGATCAGAGTTATGTGGTTTAACAAAAGGTCTCCTTATGTGTACACGCCCTTGCCAAAAACATGATGAAATCCTGAAACATGGCAAACTTAATGTGCACTTTCAGATTTACATATGACAAGCAGCATCAACTGGTGTACCTATTCATAAATATTAGGAGTGCTACCAGAAGGCTCTCGGGAAACATGGACAGTCTATTAAAGAATACCCTTCCTTCCAAGGGGTGCCATCCCAATAAGACACTCATACCAAAGTTCTTCTAAAAATGACATCTTCCATTACAGACATCCTTGCCTTTCCACAACATCCTGTGATTCATTGGAACCTGTCCTTCATACTGCATGTCCGTTTCTGATAGGAAGTCCACACAATACTTTACAGCAGCTCTGACAAAACAGCTGCAGACAAGAACACTTAAGTCAGCACTTGTCCTAGGTGAAAAGCTGAATTCAATTCATTTTTCAATTTTTTTAATGTAGTTTTTAAGAAAGATTTATTTAGTTTTATTGGAAAGTCAGATATACAGAGAGAAAGATCTTCCATCTGCCGGTCCACTCCCCAAGTGGCTGCAACAGCCAGAGCGGAGTCTATCTGAAGCCAGAAGCCAGGAGCTTCTTCCAGGTCTCCCATGGGGATGCAGGATTCCAACGCTTTAGCCTGTTCTCTATTGCTTTCCCAGGCCATACATAGGCTGGGAGCTGGAAGGGAAGTGGAGTGGCCAGGACATGAACTGGTGTTAATATGTGATTCAAGCACATGCAAGGCAAGGACTTTAGCTACTCATGTAGTTTTAAAATTTAAAACAATCTTTTTTTTCTTTCAACTTAATTTGAAGATGCCAGATTAAATCATGTCTACATGTCAACTGGAAAAGATTTGGTAAAAGATAAGGCCTTCAAATTAGTTGAAAGTTATTGACATGCATATGACCACTCAACCCTGATAACTAGGGGCTTGTTTCATTGTTGATTGATAGTGAAAATCATCAGTGGACAATGTCATTCAGCAAATATCTACTTACTGTAAAAATTCTGTGTTTGGGGGATGGCATGGTGGTATAGTAGCTTTTCTTCTTCCTGTGGCATCAGCATCCTTATATATCCCAATCCAGCCCCCTGCTTATGGCCTAGGAAAGCGAAGAATGATAACTTAAGTTCTTGGGTCCCTGCACCCACGTGAGAGATCCAGAAGAAGCTCCTGGCTTTGGATCAGCTCAGCTTTGGCTGTTGTGGCCATTTGGGGAGTGAACTAGCAGATGGAAGTTCTTTCTTTTTCTGTTTCCCCTCTCTTTGTGAAACCTGCCTTTCAAATGAAAATAAATGAATCTTAGAAATTATTTGTCAGAGTCTAAGAGAAAGAAAGAGCCCCAAACTCAGGTCCTGGGGCCCGCCTATTAGGTGGGTGTTGAGTTTGTAAGCTCCAGGGGTCGGGGATCTGGTGATGGTTGGAATGCTTGGCCTGGGTCCTTGGACTCGCCTGCAAGAACATGTCCTACTTAATGAAAAAGGTGGAGCAGTGGACACAGGCCCTGTTGTAAAAGGAGAATATGGCAGCTCATTTGATGCTTCAGCAGAACAGATCTAACTGGACAACTACCCTCAAATAATCTTGGTGAATGGAATCAATGGACATTGGGAGGATGACATCATCCTTGAATTGGTGAAATTGACAGCATTCCAGAACTACCCAAACCACTTGGACAGAACCCTCAAAATATGTACACATTGAGACTCTGGGTTGATATGAGGTGGCGGTTCCTCATCCCTGGGTACTGGGATGTATGGAAAGTCATGACTGGTTTCCACCTTCGTCTCGCTCTTCTCTCTGAAACAACAAAAAGAAATAGCAAATTTGGAAGCAATGAGTACACCCAAATTTTCCCTAAATCTTGATCCTTCCTACCTGACCCACCATGTAATCATAAAAAATGAAATTTATATACATGAAAAAGAAAGAGTCCCATTTTCCAGTCTCCTGCAAAGGCTCAGACTGAGACCAGGTTGAAGACAGTAGCCTGAAACTCCTGGATCTCCCATGTTGGTGGCAGGAAACCAACTAAGTGTATATTTGGAACAGACTGTATAAAAAGCATGCTTCTTTATATTTTGGTTAAGTATTTTGCAACCAAAGTTCCAATTCCTAGAAGCCTTGAACAAAGATCGGTTTAACATTCTTGGGTTCCCTAAAACAACATACAGAAGGTAAGCACTTAATCACTGTACATTGTGGTAGCAATGAAAGAAGGATCATGCTATCTTAGAAGAAGAAACTTCACTTAAAAGGATCGGATCAAAATGTGTGTGTTTTTTTAAAGTTAAAGATTGGCTAATATGAAAAATATTTGATAGTAGTACATGTGTTGGATATGAGGGGAAAGGAATGCTCTTTTTTAAGAGTGTTGGAAGTTTCCATTGGATTCAATTTGGTACTATATGTATGCAAGTGTTTTTTGACTCAGCACTTCTCCCGCCAGGCATTCATTCTAGGATAAATGAGACATAAATTCCAGAGTAAATTCTCACCCATGTCCAAAGGTTGGATAGTGCAGGGATAAAGCCTACACCTCAGAAATTACTACAATTGGGCTGTAACTACCTCTGGCTAAGAGGGACCAATGGTCTCAGGACCCTGGGGGTGAGAGCTGGGGAGATAGCACTGTTTTGAGAAGAGTGGGATGTAGACAGCCCTGGGTGACTTCACAGGGAGGGGCGCAGAAGCATAAGCCCTTAGCCTCTGTCTTTTCCCTCCCCTTGGTCTGCCCTATCTCCCAGCAGCTGGCACAGCTGGAATCCAGCAGGCAAGGCAGCCTGCTGATTCAGTTTCTGTTGGGCAGTGGCCTGGCCTGGTAAGCAGGGTGGACATTGTATCTGGAAGGGGAAGTGGAGGTCAGCACAGACCCAGCCACCTGAGTCACAGCCTCACAATGCCTGTGCCATGGCCCCTAGCATAAATTATTCCCTTCTTGGAAGCCTGTCTCCTCCATACATAAAATACAGTTGATAATCTTAACCTTAAGCCTTGTTGTTTATATTAAAGCCCTTGGTCTGACGCTGCACTCATAAAGTGACCAATACATATTAGCTATTTCATCGTCATCTTTGTAATTTCATCTAATATTTTTGAAAAGTTTTATTTATTAATTTAATAGGCAGAGTTAGAGAGAGTGATCGTCTATATTCTGGTTTACTACCCAAGTGGCTGCAGTGGCCAGGGCTGGATCAGGTTGAAGCCAGGAGCCAGGAGGTTCTTCTGGGTCTTTCACTGGGTGGCAGGGGCTCAAGACTTGGAGCATCCTCTGCTGCTTTCTCAGGC